CGCGTCCTTGGCCGTGCCCACCACCAAGAAGCCTTGGCCGGCGAGTTGTTTGCAAAATTCCAAGCCGCAGCCCCGATCAGCCCCCGTCACGAGGGCAATTCGAGTGTCTGGCTGCATGGTTACCGTGGAAGTCGACATGGCGCTTGGGGTTTCGACAAAGTGCGGGGTGCGAAAAGCCTTGAAGCGGATGAATGCTGTCCAAAATACCAAAAAAGGAATCATGAAGCGGCCAAGGAGAGCAGAATTCCCAACAATCCTTTCCAAGGTAACCACGAGACTTCAACATGGGGCGTGATGCAGGGGGGGCACGCCGCGCCATTTCATCGTTAATGGAAAGACCACAAACCTCACAACTTCCCAACACAAGTCTCGATATTGCCAGTCTCCGGTTCAGTCACTTGCGCAGGCTCCCCACTCAAAAATAATTCGAAAAGAACAAAACCCACCACGCTCCTCGCCCAAGAACATGCGGGGTGGGGAAGGTTCTAGGAACGGGGAAGTAAAAAGAGCACGATCCTGAAAGTCAGGCGCAGCCGGGGTTCGTGTGGACAAAGCGTGCCCCATGGCCTTGGCTTCGTACGGAGCCCCTGGCTTCCCTCGCGCGGCCCCGTGGGGCATGGGAGAGGCTTAAAACCAGGACGGCAAAGAGCTTGAATGGAAGGAGGATGTGTGACGTACCCCCTTCGGCGACAGCTCCCCAGTCAGGGCCCCAGCCCGCCGAGAAAAAGCACGCCACGGCCCGGGCCGCAAGCCCAGGAGCACTTCTGAGACTCACTTCTGCGCCTTCCTCCTCCCCGACATAGTTCTAACAGGGTTGGAGGGCCTGGAGGAAAGCGAGTGTTTTTGTGCTGGTTTTCGCTGTCTTGACCTTCCCGCCCCTTGGTCCCGCGCGCCGTCGCACCATTAGTTTGGGGGACAGAGCGTTGCCTTTTGGAGACTTGACCAGGTGTTTCTCACCATGCACCGCACCGCATTCACGGTGCTTTTCACGTCCTCCCTGTTTTCCCACTCCGTCGGTGCCTTCCCCCTCCTTCTCCTCCGCCGCCTCGCCCCGCCCGCCTTCCAGGCCTCGGAACCTTCCCCAGCCCCCATGCGCCTGGCCGCCTCCCCGGAGAACGCCGCCAGACCCCTGCCGGCGGAAGCCGCCGTTTTTGCCCAGAACATCATGGCTACCTACGGGCGGTACCCCATCACGATGGTGAAGGGCCAGGGCGTGAAGTTGTGGGACTCTACGGGGAAGGAATACTTGGACTTTGTGGCGGGCATTTCCACCTGTTGCTTGGGCCACGCAAACCCGGGTCTGACCGCGGCGGTGACGGAGCAACTGGGGAAACTGCACCACGTCTCCAATTTGTACTACACCGCCGAGCAGGGTCGCCTGGGGGCCTGGCTGGTGGAGCATTCCGTGGCGGACAAGGTGTTTTTCTGCAATTCCGGGGCCGAAGCCAACGAAGCCGCCATCAAACTGGCGCGGAAGCACGCGCACGAGAAGCTGGGCTTGGGCGAGCCCGTCATCATCACGGCCAAGGCCTCCTTCCACGGGCGGACGTTGGCCGCCATCACCGCCACGGGACAGCCGAAATACCACCGGGGCTTCGAGCCCCTGGTCCCGGGATTTGTCTACGTCGACTACAACGACGCCGGGGCCTTGGAGCGGACGGTGCGTCGGATCAATTTCTGGGGCCGCCTCCGCGGGTGGCTCCCGGGGAAGAAACGGCGCGGGGTGGCGGCGATCCTGATGGAGGCCTTGCAAGGGGAGGGCGGGATCCGACCGGGGAGCCGGAGCTTCTTCGCCAAGGCTCGAGCGCTCTGCGACGAGACTGGGGCCCTGCTGATGGTGGACGAGGTCCAAACGGGCGTGGGCCGGACGGGGCGGCTCTGGGGCTACGAGCAGCTGGGGGTAGAGCCCGACGTGTTCACGTCCGCCAAGGCTCTGGGGGGGGGCGTGCCGATCGGGGCCATGCTCTGCAAAGAGCGGGCCAATGTGTTCCAGCCTGGGGACCACGCCTCCACGTTCGGGGGAAACCCGCTGGCCTGCGCGGCGGGGCTGGCGGTGACGGCCGCCTTGGAACGAGAGCATTTGGTCGAGAACGCCGCGGCTCGCGGGGAGAGTCTGCGGGCGGGGTTAAGGAAACTTCAAGCCCAGTACCCGGGCGTGATCGAGGACGTGCGGGGGTGGGGTCTGATCAACGGGGTGGAGCTGAGCGAGGCGAGCGGCTTGCTCGCGGCCCCGGTGGTGCAGGCCTCCATCGACGAGGGCCTGCTCCTGGTGGCGGCGGGGGCTCGCGTCGTCCGCTTTGTCCCGCCCTTGGTCGTGAGCGAGGGGGAAGTGGAGGAGGCGGTCGCCAGGTTCGGGAAAGCCTTGGCCAAGGCGATGGCGGCGCGGTGAGTGAGGGAGGGAGGGAGGGAGGGAGGGTAGGGAGCGAGGAAGGGAGGGTGGGGGGAAGTT